CGCTCAGTTATTAATTTACTTTCTTGTCACGAGGGGCGCAACCAGATATCCCGGAAATTAACTCTATCATATCATCCAAACTCAAATTTGAAGCTAATTTGCCGTTAATAATGTATCACAAAATTTGCCGCGGATTATTTTCCACATCTTCCAACGGAAGCTAGCACAGCCATTCCTCTAAATCCACTAGTAGTGAAAATGTCAACACAAAATATACTCAGAATTAGCCTCTTTTTATTTTTAAACTATTAGTAAAGAAGTGAAATTGGTAACTCTTTTCTTTTAAAAAATGTTAACGAAAACCTTTAAATCATGGCTCAAAGCATTAAAACATTACCAAATAATTACTGTCACGTCGTTCAAAATGGAACTAATACAAAACTTTATTTATATCTTGCCGCGTTTTTATTTCGAAAATATTAGATTAAAAAAAATAATAGTGGGGAACAGAACTTGATAAATTCGCCAAAAATATTATTCTAAAGCCGACAAAATGCAATTAGAAACAAAGTAGTATAAAATTGGTCTTTGATTATAGACGATTTGTAAAATACTTTGCACCGATATCTTTTTAAACACAAAACAACAAAATCCATGTGCGAATTCGTACCTTTCCAGTGGAAAAAATATCACGCGCCAAATAATTAGTGGCCATAAAACTCGATTCCAAAGCAGAGAAAATACCAAGCAATTTACCCCCTGAAAATTTGTTCTAAATACATTCTGTAACACAAATATATGCTGATGCGCTATTAGTTATCTGTATTGAATCATATTAACATCGCCGCGGCACGATTATTTTATAATTGTTAGTATTGAATTCTGTCATCATAGACCGTACTGAATCTCATTATGAATGCCATTAAGCAAAAATGGAAAAAGGGGGCAAAAGGGAAGAAATCCTTTTATATTCCATTTTATCGACATGGTCATTAGATAATGGAATAGGCACGTCAAATAGTAAATTTCAGTACAGTACTTTCCTCAGATTATATTTAATTTCTATTTTGGCCAGCTCATATTTTTACTATATGGCGCAACAATATTTACTTCTCAGGTCTGAATACCTTGATTTCTTCTCCGTGAGCCTGAAAATAACAGCTCGTACGAGTTCGTGGCTGGTAATAATTTTTATGTTAATGGGAAGTTGTATTTGGTGTTTTTTCTTACCATGCACTTTTTAAACAATGACAATTGATCATTATACTGAAATTACAGTAGCGTATGAATTATGACTGCAACCATTGCTTTAATATATTTTCTGTTTAGTTCGTGACAAACTAAATATTTAGCGTGACTGATTTTATGCAAACAAATTACATATTGTTCTTTATCTTCTTATAATTTTGATGCAAACAAATGACCTCTTCATCATTTTCTGAATATGATGAAAACAAATGTCCTATTTACTTTAATGATTTTTATGATTATAATGACCGTCATTACTTCTAATCGTTTTTGAACTTAACTCAAATTATTTCTAAATTAACATTTTTGACCTTGAATGTCCTTCCTGCCAATCCTTATAATGTCTTTAAAAACTTCTTATGTTTTGACCCTTCGCTTTCGTCGAAAAACAGCGCACTTGGCGATGCGTCGAAAACTCCATCCGATGCGTCGTCACCGTTGCTCCCCTCGTCCAAATTTCATTCTCGTCGTCCACACTTACGGTTCTCCGACTTGGTCGGCCGAAAATTATTCGTTGCTACTATTACACGACATCTAGAATGCCGCGAATGTTTATTTTCGTACTTTTCTCAAATAATTTAAACTCGTTGAACTCCCGATATATTTAGTTTCCCGATCCCGATCGTTCTAATTTAAGACTTTAACAAAAATCATTCTTTTTACAGCCCAACTGATTCCTGCCAAGTCACTACTCGTTCTGACGAAATTTTTATTTCCAGAAGCTCATCTTGCGTCTTGTTCTTTATGTTTCATTCGCCACTTCGATGCTATTCTGTCCTTTGCTACTGAAACATCTGAGTTCCTTTGTATATGTCAACAATGGCCTCTTATCGAAATATGTATTTATTTAATATATTTTAAAAATTTTTAAATACTCAATAGAAATTAATTTTATTTGACTCTTCGCGACTTTTTAATTTCCTATGTCACGTTCCTGCTCATATTTACTCGGAATTGTTTGATTATCTATACAAAATTCGTATACATATTTTATTTTATTTTTGAACAAATATATTTATATATTTCGGGTCC